GTCCCATTTCGTCTCTGCTTTGAGGCAGTTTGGGAAAGGACACACAGCCTTCTTGTCCCTGGCACAGCAGACTGTGTGGCTGTTGCCAGAATCCCTCCATGAAACAGAGAGGCCAAACAGGGGCAGGTTCAGTCTCAAGAGTACCGTTGGCCTTTGCAAAGGAAGAGTTTCTACTTGACCAAAGAGATGACATTTTCTAAATGTTAAGCTCAGGTTACAAGGAAACATTGCTTAAAGGTGGCCATTAGAGAAGCAACATCATGGTCAGCTCAGGGCCCAGAATGATAAACAAACAGTTTGATATACAAATATTTTTAATATTTAAAACAGTGTGATGGCTGGTATAAAATCTGCAAAAACAATGTTTTAAAATTTTGACAATTAAACTTAGTTTTGTCTTCTTGTTATGTATATTGTTTCTTTTTGGGTGTAAAATGAAAACTGGAGAATCTCTATAAAGTTCTTTCACTCCACAATGCAGGATGTCTTTGTCAAATGTCTCAACATGTTGGAGTGACGCAAACAAAACAAGTCATCAAAGACCCTGATTTTATATTTCTGGTCAAGAAAATCGTCATGTTAACATTTTCAGCTGAGACCACAGAAAGTGTGGAGTTTATAATTATATAATTTAATTGCCTTCTCTGGCTTTTAATGTCTGTAAATAAAAACAACAAGCACCGTTTGGAAGCCAGACCTTTGAAATAAATGAGACGGGTATGGCAGCAGCCTGGAGCCTCCCGTCTCATGCCCTCTCGTCTGGTGCCTATTGCTAATTTCTACATTTCAAAATAAAAGCTTCCGTCTTGTTCCCTATTTCTACCTCGTTCTTTGGTGTTTTTGAACTGATAAATGAAGACTGTCATGCTAATGATAGTGCTATTATAATGCTGTTCCAGCAATCTGGTAGAAAGATAGTTTTAAACGTAGTTTCAAGTGTCAAAATGGAAATTGCGAATTATGTGTGTGTTACACACTCCTGCACAGTAGATGGCGGTATGCACCTAAACGTCGGAGTCACGGGTGAGTTCATTCATGCAATCAATTAAAAACGTATAAACTCTTAAATTATGATTTTGGCCATAGATATACTTTGCATATTTCTGGGTGTTATTGTTGTGTCCCTGATGTTAACGTATTTGATGAAACCTGTGATGACTTTAACACTTTAAACTGCAACAGCGTTTCAATTAGACGTTTGTTAGCGAATATTAGTTCACCACTAATAACTTATTACCTATAGCAATTTATAATAACAGACTTTAGTGGTTTCTTTCTTTGATTTTACCTAAGGAACACATCAGTGTCAAAAATAACACATGCATAGGGCTCTATATTGTTTCCACACTTAATAGGGAAATCGTAGTAGTAAAGTAAGAAGTATTTTATTCATTCGCATGATTGCTGTAACTATTCGGTTCAAAAACATCAAAGTATTTGCAATCTTGAAACCCATTGTCTAAGTTTTTAAAAAGATAATAAAATGCTAATCTATAGTGCTCCGAGACTGATAAAAAGCTAAATCGATGATAGCCGATCGGTTTCCAGACCGTATTTCAGCCAAAGCTACTACTACAAGCAAACCAGAATGCTTTGGATACCAAAATCTTGTTCCTTGCCCACAGATTGTGCCTTCTTATGCAGATATCTGTTTATAAAGATTAGGTCAAATGCAATCAAATCCGAAACCTAACACAACATGTCCTCATGTGGTTCAGTTTGTCTGAAGAGATAAATACAGCAAGATCAAGTAAGATCTTTGTAGGATTAAGCTGGATGCCAGGGCACAGACGTCCTGACACACACACACACACGCACGCATGCACGCACGCACGCACGCACACACACACACACACACGCACGCACGCACTGGGCACCACACTCATAATCGTCTGCCTCATCCCATTAGAATAAATGTCTCTCTCCCTGGCATGTAGCTGGCATAAAGACACCAAACATGATACGTGATCACATTGTACTGTCACACAGATAGCTTGATTTCTCTACAGTAACTCCAACTTCAGGAGTTAGAACCTGAAACGGGAATAGAGACCTTTGTCCAAATTGTACAAAAATACAGCAAACACAGCAGAAAATAAATAAGGAGGTATCATCAATTACTCTTGCTTTGGTTCTCTTCCTTTAAATCTCCGTTTCTTGCTCTTACATTTTCATTCCACTTGTTTTATTTGTCTGTTTTTTCATGTGGTATTTTCTTTCCCCGCCTCTCTCCTCCTCCTCCTCCTTCTTCATCTCCTGTCTCCTCATCATCCAAAGTTCTTAGGAGTCGGCACCTAAAATTACTTGGGGATTAAAGAAGAGTCTAAGTTTGGGTCAGGATCGAGGCCACAGACAGGCTCCCACACACACCGAGGGCCATGCACTCGTTTATTTCTGTCTGATCGCATTAGATCCGGTATATACAGTATCTCCTGGGCATCTAACTGATATTTAGACAAAAACTGTTTGAAACACGTGGATGATTAGTTTCCAATTATATATTTCAAATCCTAGCCAGGCACTCAAACCTGAGAATTTCACCCTTCATTCGCCTTCAAGAACGCTAATTAATGCTTTTAAAGGCACACATGCAGCAAAACCAACTACACAATACATTCTGAGGACCAGTTGACTTATGTCTGTAGCACTGGTTGTTTTTCAAGTACCAGAAGTTGTTACAGGCTTGGTCATAATCAGGTTTATCATTAATACTCCAACAGTCCAATACTGTATATTGGTGCAGCACTGGCAAAATCAATCAGAGCTGCACAGTGTTGGCCAATCAAAATACCTGTAAGCATCCATGGCAACATTTCATAGTATTTAACTTTATTTCTTTGTTTGATATGTCTTTTTTTTAGGCATTTAAATTCTTCAATACCATGATACAGTTTATCAGCAGAATGATATATGTTGAAATCATATGTTGGTTCTGCTGCATTTTTGTTGCATGTTAACACTATTAGTTGAAATACTTGTTGTTTCTAGTGTAAACTGTTATACTTATGTTAAACAGTCATTTTTCAGTTTATTAGGTTCAACAGCACCACCAACTACATCCTCCAAAATGTTTATAAAGTTGACTATCCCCCGGCTTGACTCCCGTGTTCCTGCTCAACACCTTCTGCTACAACTATTGTTACTAGTCCTATTGCTATTATTGTTATTATAATCATTAACATTACAATTATTATCATTTACACTACTATAAATTGCTCTACCATTTTTCATTTAGTCTATAGCAACATCACCTTTACTGTCTGTACCTCTGTGTGTATATTGTGTAGGCTGCCTCCCTCCCCTCTCTCTCTCCTTCCATCCCTCTCTCTCTTTCTCTCTGTTCCTCTCTTGCCCTCTCTCTCTCTCTCGCTCTCTCTCTCTCCTTCACCCCCAACCAGTCAAGGCAGATGGCCGCCCACCCTGAGCCATGGTTCTGCTCGAGGTTTCTGCCTCTTCAACGGAAGTTTTTCCTTGCCTCTGTCGCCTAGTGCTTGCTCTTGGTGGGAACTGTTGGGCTTCTGTAAATAGCATCACAGAGTACGGTCTAGACCTGCTCTTTTATGAAAAGCGCTCTGTGATAACTGTTGTTGTGATTTGGCGCTATACAAATAAAATTGAATTGAACTGAATCAACTCCTCTCTAAAAAAAGTAGTGACGATAGGATTTATTGCAGCACTGTTGCATTAGACTGCATTCCTTTCAGCTAGGTGTACATCCTCAACTAGCAACAGAGTCTTAGTTTGCCTTTATTTTTTTTTCTTTCCCCAAACCCTAGCTTCCTTGCTGTGTCAGATTTTTCTCATTCGTTTTCATCAAACGACCTTCAGGCCTTTGCCAGGCATTTGTAAAAATGTATTTGTTTGTATCCAACGAAGGTTAAAATGAAGGGCAACTGGACTTGGTTGAAGCTACTGGAAGACGTTTCGTCCCTTATCCAAAGGACTTCTTCAGTTCTGA